TTACTTGTTTTGGAGACAAGTATTTTGCATACCATGTGTTTGTATGCAATATCAGTTTTCAACTGTCAGACGTAGCCCAGGGGTTAAATTACGTAATGCATGACTGATCCACTACTGCTCTCCTCCCAGTGTAACTCGCTGAATCACACACGCTGACACAGGGAGGTGTTCATGCATGGTGATGTCATTTTAACTAAATATTTATCAGCATACTTAAGGTTAAAAAACACAACAATGGTGTTTCTCGGGTCTATGGTGCAAAAGGACATAGAGGGACTATATTTTCATTCACTTTTGGATACTTTTTGGTTATTCTTTACTTTGTACAAGGCAAAGGCAAAACACCAAATGTACTTTGCCTTTTCGGTAAAATGTCTCTGGAGAGAAATACACAATAAAAGGATCAGCAGAGCACCAGTCATTGATAGTAAAATAGTTGAAAAGTAACTTCCTCTTTTGCTGGTTGAGGGTGATAGGGAACCAAATTCGAGATGATGACAGGGGCACAGACTGAAGTGTTAAAAGACTGCAACGCCTCAAATGATAATTACGTTTTAATAACTATTTTTATAATTCAACTAACTAATATAGTGATCATTTTCAATTAATCCATAGCTTAATTATTTGATTAATAGGATAAATCAAGCATGGTTTTAGTGCAGTTTTACAAGTTACATACAAAGGGTTAATATATTAAGGGGCGACAGTAGCTCAGTTGGTAGAGCATTGGCCTTAAGGCCAGAAGGTCGTGGGTTCAATTCCCACCTTTACACCTTCTCCACCGACTCCCACTGATGTCTGCTGTCGTTGTGTCCTTGGGCAAGACACTTAACCCCACTTTGCCCAAAGCCCCCACTGAAAGATCAAGGCTATGCTCCTCCTGTGGACTCACCACCTGCAGAGGGTCAGTGAGGGGCTGGTGCTATGAGACTTGGGTGGTAGAAAATGGATGGGTTAATATATTTCTGCAATTCAAGTTGAAATGTGAAACCAAACCAAACCAATTGACTGATTACATGCAAAGTGACATTTGTTTGTTTTATTTAGTTAATAATAAATGTATTTTATATATTCAATCCGGGCAACCCACATTTTTAATTCACATTAGCATCATGACAGCAGACAGCTGTGCGGCACGTGTTGCTATGGTGATCTCCTAAAGTCTGTAACGAGAAAGCAAGCTACCGGCACGCAAGCTAGCTGCAAGCAGTAAACGAGAGTGACAAGAGTAAGGCGGATGTAAGTTGTGCAAGGCAAAACTGTCACAAGGTGGGTCCCAAAACAAACACGTGTAACACCAGCAACTTGATCAATCATCTGAAAAGTACAACACCTTTGCTATCAACAGAGTTATTTCTATACCATTTGTAAGAGTGGAAAATGACGGTGGTTCTTTTTAATGACTGTTAAAAAAATTTTTTAAAAAGTTTAATTATTAAAGCATATTCGTATTGTTGAAATGAGAAATGGGGGATGACAAAGGGATAACACAATGCAGTAGTCTGATCAGTATTCGATATCGGCAAGTACTCGCAAGTACTAATAAAAATACTCGTACTCGTATCGGTTTTGAAAAAATAATGGTATCGGTGCATCCCTAAATGATATTATTATTTATTCATGAGTTTATTTGGATGGGACAGTGCGTATTCATGAACAGCCGGAGACGTAAAAACACCAGATTGTAGCTACGAGGATAATTTGTATCTGTAGTGCCACAGTCGCACTCACAAACACACACTCAATCCCCACCTTATTGTACATGTTTTTAGTGCTAGGGGAAACCGGAGTACCTGAAGGAAACCTACGCAGACACGAGGAAAACTTCACAGGGAAAGGTCCTGGAGGTGGAATAAAACCCATGACCTTCTATAATGTTGATGATTATAGCTTACGGTCCACTTTTATGTAAAAACTCTTCATGTTTATTTGGAGTTTTTAAAAGTTGTGGGCCAATTAACATAACTAATAAAGGCTTGATATCTCACTTTGCAAGTGATGAATCTGTTATATTAGTAGTTTCACATAAACACTTAAACTTAAACATTCTCCTTTGTCTTAAATGTTAGGTCAATAATACAGTAATAAGCGGATTCAGTTTATGAGTCAAATAGGCATAAATGTAATCATATCAGTCTGTATCATAGAATACTGTGTCCTGTCGGTCAGTGCAGCAGGCGCTATAGTGCTCTATGGAGATCTGGCCCAAGCACAGGCTTTTATGAATGTACAATACGATGAGATGATAAACTTATGCATATTTGTACATAAGTGACCCACTCACTCTGTGATCCCAGTGGACACTGCACACGAGTTAATGGCACAGTCTGTGAGATCACCAGAACAAGGAAAACTAAAGTTTAGCACAAGTTTTATGATAAAAGAGCAGAGAAGACGGTTTTGAGAGTTTTGAGTTAACTTATTGTACTGTCCTGTATATTTCTACAAGGTATTAGTACTTCAGTATAGATCTAATAGTGTCTGAAAAAGTCTTAGGATATATCCAATCATATCTGTGGAATATTCTAGTATCAATTTACATCCGTTTTTTGTTGATAGAATTTTGCCCTTCGTGTTTTAGAAGTTAGTGGAAGCTACATGCAAGCAGGTCAGGTTACAATCCAATCAGATGCTTAGTTAGTTCAGAGACATAAAAAGTATACTTACAAACTTCTTTTTCCCGTCTCCATCGTCATAAGTCTTCTTTGATTTCTTCTCTTTCTTTGCCCCAGGAGCAGGAGCGGAGGCAGAGTTCCCCGTATTTGGATCCATCTTTTGAGCTTAATCCGTTTGCGTCCACTGTGTGATTATAAAATAGACCACTGTGACAAAACCCCCCCAACCCCTAACATCACACACGAATAAACTAGACAGCCCCACTGGCCTTGATGGTGTATTCACATTAATAACGATGCTAACGAGGGCAGTGCTATCATATGGGAAAGAGCCAACTTTAGGGAACCCCAGACGCTGTCAAAAGGAGGGAAATTCAAAGCCCTGACTTGTGTCCGAGATTACACATATGGCTTGACTAAAACAGTTCACACAAGTATCAGATCTACTCTAACTGGAACAGATACAGCGAGTCCATTCAACACCTCGAGCGTTTTAATATAGTCTTCGATGCGTGGGTAACTTGTTGCGCTAATGTTAGCTTAGGCTAAGCTAGCTGCTACACTGAGTACACTTCGGGAGAGAGGCGGGGGACTTTGCTCTTCTTTTAGCCGCCGAGTTGTGAATAGTCCAGAAAGAAAATGCCAAGTAAAAAAATAAGTTGTTTTCTTGAAATTAGTCCACGGTTTGGTATCACTTCAACCAACTTTTGCACCCGAAACAGAAGTTTCTCGGAGCAGCGGGACAGTCTTCCTGGTCTAGTGTCAGTGATGAAGCGGCTGGAGGCGGAGCGAAGGCGCACTCTCTACACCTGAGAGTGGTCACATCCAGATTCCTCCATCCTTTTCCCTTTATCGTCTTTCCTCATTTTTTTCTTTGATCTTTGTGGCATCACTGTTTATCTAAATTACAATTAAACAGTCTTAACTTACTTTTAGCAGACTTAAAACAGCCTTGTTGAATAAAAAGCAAATTTAAAAGAACGAGGAAAGATGAAAAGGAGGTATTATTTTCAGAATTTGGATGTAGTCAGGGTTTTTACAGCACCATTGACGTACAATAATCTCATCATCAATTACTTTTATGTGTCTGTTACCGCAGATAAACACAAGCCAGAGAATGTGTTTTATGAATTTGACACTTCTTTAGATTGCAATGATGTGCCAATTATGGAGGACCAAAAATGACTAAAGTATAAATAAATAAATAAATAAATAAATACAGGAATATATTAATAAATACATTCATTTTGGACAAGAAAAACTAAATATTTACATTGATATACTAAATATTACTCTGAAATCAAATAAATATACTTCTATTTAGGTTATTTATCAATATCTACATTTTTTCCTTTATTTATTTATCCATTTATTGCATATATTTATTTATATATTTCTACATTTCTTCATTTATTTATTTATGTATTTCTACATTTCTTCATTTATTTATTTATGTATTTCTACATTTCTTCATTTATTTATTTATGTATTTCTGTGTCGCTACATTTCTTCATTGATTTATTTATGTATTTCTACATTTCTTCATTTATTTATTTATGTATTTTTGTGTTCCTGTATGCAAATTAGGTGGGCGGTGCTGAACTCAATCTAGAACAGGATTGGTTAGGATTGCGTGAACTCTGGTCTCGATCATTACTGCCTCACATTACGGTACTCTGTTAGCTAGCTAGAGATCCTCTGTGCACTTTTGTGTGGTATAATGGCAGTTTCGAATGTAAATTTTTTAGGAGCCATTGCTCATCAATTAAGAGCATTAGCAAATGATGTTAATGATGTTGAGCATAATGCACCTGAGGACTATCTACTCTTTCGGCTGGAAAGACTATTAGATGTTTTAGTTCATCGCAGTGCTGACCCAGAGGTAGACTTTGATGCAACTGTGCTGGATGCTCTTCAACAAGCTATACAGCAGCTTCACATCCTCTCACAAACCGAGAAGGCTAACTTTGCTTCTGTCTGGTTGCCCTGGCTGACCTACTGCCCACCAATCCTGCTATTGATTGAGTTCAGCACCGCCCGCCTAATTAGCATACGGCAACACAGAAATACATAAATAAATAAATGAAGAAATGTAGAAATACATAAATAAATAAATGAAGAAATGTAGAAATACATAAATAAATAAATGAAGAAATGTAGCGACACAGAAATACATAAATAAATAAATGAAGAAATGTAGAAATACATAAATAAATAAATTAAGAAATGTAGAAATACATAAATAAATATATGCAATAAATGGATGAATAAATAAAGGAAAAAATGTAGATATTGATAAATAACCTAAATAAAAGTATATTTATTTGATTTCATAGTAATATTTAACACATCAATGTAAATATTTAGTTTTTATTGTCCAAAATGAATGTATTTATTAATATATTCCTGTATTTATTTATTTATTTATACTTTAGTCATTTTTGGTCCTCCACTTGTGCTGCCAGCGACTGAACAAATAGGCAGTAATTCCAGTTTATTAGAAGATTAGACAGCCGTGTGATTCACAATTAGAAGTCCTTATGAAGGCACAGTTATTCATCCATTTGAAAGACATGATTCCGTGGTTATACATGGCCTAACCACGTTAAATTACACAGTAGGTCTATAGGCGTCGAAGTCTGACGTGACGTGACAGGCTGCTCTTTCTATCTAGACGTATTCAAGAAATTAGCCCCATCTAGTGATCATATCGTAAACTGGAGCTACAGGTTAAAAGTCAGACGTATGTGTTGTGATCGGTAACAAACTAGGAACACATTATAACATTTTTTTGCATTACATTATCTGTTCATTTATTAGGCTACTTGATTGTACTTCCCATTATTCGAGTAGTTTGCAGCATGCAGACCAATGACATAATCAGAGATAAACATAAAGATATCTTGCACATCTCCTCTGGTATGCAGGACATATTTTCTGACAACAAGATTTTAAAGTCTTCCCTCGCCTCCTCTGAAAAATCGGCCAACTTGTAAGCAAATGGACACTCATTTGTATAGGCCTACAATCAAATAGTTTTAATCTATTGTTTGTACAATACTGTGTACAGTGTCTAGATTATTAAATTCATTTGCATTATCAATTTAATTAAATAGCATTTTCCCAGAGGGGATAAGGAACTTTTTTTTCCATACTATTTATTTTCCTGAAAACATTGTACTGTTACGCCATACTTTTTTACACAAATTATATGATCATTTTGTATGAATAGGCCTATACTTGGCAGATGGTGACACAAAATTAAAACAGGTTTGATGTGGTAAGCTATGCTTCTATAGTAAATTATTTTGAATCGTATAATGTTCTGTTATTGAGAGTACGTTCAAAAAAGTATTTACTCAAGACTTTATTCCTATGTCACTAAAATACTGTATATCTGGATTTTCAAAGAAATTACTTGGTAAAGGGCAAATTGTAAGTTTTTCTGTTGTTTTCTAATGGCATCTGTTTTTGCAAATTAACTATTCATATAGTCTATGTAATAAAAATGTTTGACTAAAAAGACTTTCAAAGAAGAAAAAAATACAAATAATTCCATGAGAACCTTTTAGGATCTAGAATATCCAACTTTAATTCTGTTACCATTTTACAGAAACATTTGTAAAAATCTTAACAGTTCACAACACACCACTGAATAAAATATCCTACAATAATTTAAGACAAGCACGTATTATCATTATTTTATAACCATGAGTCCACATCATATCACCAACCAATAAAGCTATGTGGCTTAATTTCCCCCAACTCAGACCATAACTGCACACTCCTGCAGGGGGGCGTCGTGGTCAGTAGAGCAGCAGCATTGGGTCATTTTACACTGTGATATTAGTCCTGGCACCTTCTGAACCATCTGGTCACTTGTAAGAAGTCCGGGCTTCTCGCAGGGACCTGTCATATGGCATGGAGGCGAAGAAGGAGTTTCGCAGCTGGCAGTTAATGAAGAACACGATGAGCAGCACTAGGAGGAAGAGGAGCAGGCACATGACTATGTAGGTGACCAGGTCTGGCTTGTGGAGCTCGCCTTCCCGCATCCCTCCTCCCTCAGAGCTCCCACGCGCAGAGGTGGGTCTGAGGAGGACCCCCACGCCAGACCCCCCGCTGTGGGACGAGTTGAGAGAGGAGGGTGCGTGCGTGGTGGACTGTGTCATGAGAACTAAGTTAAAATCCGGGCTGTCAGTGGAGTTGAGGAGGATCTGTCTGAGCATGGTGAGACGCAGACTTCTTCAGCCACAGATGCGAGACTGGGATTGAGTGTAATGTTCTGTATAATGTTTAAGCATAATAACGGTTTTGTTTCAAACTATAAACAAATCAAACACAAAGGAAAAAGGCTTCAAGCTTAAATAAACTCAACACAATAAAGCAAAACTGCATATCGTCTCTGAACAAACAGCTTGGAGCGTGAATCCTGAACACTCACTTTATGGTGCGCTTCAAAATAGTTGCGCAAATGAAGTGGACGAAGCAAAGTGTCGCCTGTGCATTCCTCAGTGCCCAGCTCCGTGCTCCCGGTTTGTTGGACACGCTGCGTTATAGAGCCACTGTCCATATGTGGCACCACCGCGTCTACTGTACCAGACCTCTCAGATGAATGGGTCAGGGCGCCACGCAGGAATCCATTCTGACAGACAAGGCTATGATTGGTGTCAAATCCAAATCAAAGTCCAGATATTGCGTTGAATCCAATGGTTCTTAAGGTTCAGAAGTGAAGTTCAACAGCACCCATGACCCAAGTGTGTGACGCTGCAAAACAAGCTTTGCCGTGTGCGCGTCCAGTGCGCAGCAGAATAAAGGGCACGTCTGGTTGCCCCCTTTTTCCCAACCCCTCTTTTATCCAAGTGCTCATCAATACCCGTTTGATATATGGCGCGGAGACACTCTTACGGGACTATTGATCCAGGATGACTAAGAAGAGACGAAAAGGTGAGATTAATTAAGTTCAGCCGCAGCCGCGCGCAGAGACACTCTTCTGTCGGCGCCTTGTGGGAAGTGTGTGAACAGACGGGGAAGAGAGAGGCGCAGATCAGGGGAAGGGAAGGAGGGCGCTTGAGGCACGTCACAGGACCATGCAGTGAGCGAGGAAGGAGTCAAGAATCCATATCCGTCAAACTTGACCTGAAGTCTCTCACCTATGAGGATTAGTGCATGACTTCAAATGGTGTCCATCATTTTAGTGCAGGAAGCTAAAAGAAAGGTATTATTTGTGTCTGAGATTGTACCTACTGGGCGTCATATATCTTAAGTGACCAGCAGATGGATGTTGTGTTTGTATATGGACACAGGAGATTTTTCACCAACATCATCCATCTTCATCTATCTATTTTCTCACACCGTATCTATTGCCTGGTTTTGGGGCCAACAGTCTGTGCAGAGATGCTCAAACTTCCCTATCCACACACACTTCCTCCAGCTCATTCGGAGGAATCTTGAGGTGTTCCCTTGAGGCCTGCAGCTGAAAAACAGTAGTCCCTCCAGCATATCCTGGGTCTTCCCCGGGATCTCCTCCCGGTGGGACATGACCAGAACATCCCAGGGAGGCCCAGAAGTCATCCAAAACAGATATACCCAAGCCACCTCAACTGGCTCCTCACAAAGTGGAATTCCATATCAGATATCAGACTTGTGTGTTGTACACAAACAAAAATAGTACTTTCTGGACTATAAGTACACGTTATTTGCACCCTGCATTCTCTATAGGAATCCAGCTAATGTCTACTTTACTTTACTTTACTTTGCTAAAACAGAAGTCTACAGGCTTTGTTTGCTCTATCAGCTGTTGGAGTGTAACTGTATATACATGAAAACCTGTGGCTTATATTCAAGGACGGCCAACACGTGGACAACATTTACTTTCTATTAAAGTCCTGCAAGTATTGTAGTTTATTGTTGTTCATCTTACTTCTCGTGACATACATTGTTTTGTTTGTTTGTTTAGCTAGTCTATGTTTTAAATTGTTTTTGCCATGGTGCGTTTTTTTTGTAATTTGGTTCTGGGTTAAGTCTGTTTGTGGTTTCATTTTAGTGTTACTTCCTGTGTTGTATGTCTGGCCCTAATGTGTTTCACCATTATCTCTGTCCATATGTTCCGTGTGCTCTTCCCTATTTGTTGCTGGTCCAGTTTTCCTGGTTCCCGTGCTCCGTTTAGATTTTTTTGTTTGTTTGTACCTTTTACTTTTACTCACTTCATATTATTTTACATTTCTGAATTTTGGGTCCTTCCTTCATTTCACCACGTGACGGTATTTTTGCAGAGGTTTAATATTAGACAAAGATTTCAGAATCTTAAATAGAAACAACTTCAGGCAACTACAGTCGACTGGTCACGATTATCACAATTAGTGCTTCCATCTTACCGTGAAGTAGAGTGGAAAGTCTTAGATGAAGCGATGTAACCAAGCAAGCCCTAAAAGCTTCACCAATCTGATTCATATTCATGTGCACCTGTTTTGTCACAACAGAATGGCTTACAGACATAAAGCAAGGACAGAGGGGCACGCACTGCAGATAAATACTGTAAAACACATCCAAATGAGACCAGACTTTGATGCCAAACATCAAACGCCACAAACAATAGACAATAGGATCCACAATCACTGCTAATAAGCTGAACACCGTACAGAGCTGGTGTGCCATGTCATCTTTGAAATGAATACTAAATATAATTAATGGACCATATCTGTTCTTGAAACTGGGTCCACACCTTGAGGCTGGATTTGCACAAGGAAAGACAGCTGTGATTATGATTGCTAAGAAGATTAGTGTTTATTGTTGCTGCTAGAATATTTTTGTCATGCAACGTTAACATTGCATATTTTAGACTTAGACTGACTGTCTTTGGAAGCATTTTTCTGTCTGCGCAACCTTGAACATGGACTCCAGAATGTTTGTCATGTGAATACGATCTAAATACCTTTTCTGTGTCCACGTGTCAAACAATGAGCAGAATATTCTCTCTATGTTCAACTTCACACATGCCAGTCCTTTACTTATAACATTAGCTACTATAAAATATAATGTGCTTGTTTCATAAATAGTACATGCTGTTTGTCCTAACAGAGTAAAATGATAATAACTATATCGGTCAAGAACTGAAGGATAAAACAATTGATTTTGGCCTTCAATGTTTATTGTCCGTACATTTCTTTGCAGAAGTCTTTGTAGAACAATATGTTTAAATATAGATGGTTCAGTAAGTCTAAATATTACATTATTCTTAATGAATACTTTTTAATGAAATAGAAAAAAAAAAAAAACTGAATTGGAATTATCTTGTTGGATTGTATCAGTGGCATAAAGTAGTTTGAATATCTTCACTTATTGCAATTAACGGTTATTAAAGTAGTTGTGACAGGTTTACAGACAAGATGTTCAATTCAATTCAACATATTTTTGGATAGCCCTAAATCACAACAGTAGTTATCTAGGAGGACTTTACAAAGCCGTTTATTTGCCAGCACAGATCGGAAAATCAATCCATTCAAAAACAAGAAATGCAATGATAAGATGCAATGACATAGAACCATTGGTCCATAGAAGGCAGACGACCAATTTCAATAAATATTGTTGAGTGTCCTGGATCATCACCACTGTCCTCAGACTATCAGCAAGGAAAACGCCAAAAAATCTCAAACATTTTGTCTTCATCCCTTTCGAAAACATGTCATATTTGGAAGAATATCATTATTTAGTGCTTCAGGCCAAGCGCTGATTGGTGGACTGAGGGTGGTCCACCAATTTTCACTTTTTGGTTTGAAAAAGCTGATCAACAATACATAACATGCATGTGAAAACGGCATTGAGAGCTGTTTTAAGAGAGACAATTTTTTTTAATAGATTTATTACACATATAGTTACATTTACAGAGGGAGGCCTGCAAACAGAAAGAGAGGGGGAAAAAAATCCAGAAAACCACCTCCATGCACATCTCCTCTAGAGCAGTGATGTTTTGGAGCTGTCGGTGGGCAACACGGACTTTGAACTCCCTCCAAAGATTTTCATTGGGGTTGAGATCTGGAGACTGGCGAAGCAAATCCAGGAACTTCTTATCAAGCCACTCCTTTTTTGCCCGGGCGGTGTGTTTGAATGAAAATTACAAGCCTCCCTCATCTTTTTAAGTGGGGGAACTTGCACAATTGGTGGCTGACTATAAATATTTTTTTGCCCCACTGTATGTAGATACAGATTCGAACCATGAACCTTCTTGCTGCGAAGCACAAGCGCTAACCACTGTGCCACTGTGCAGCTATTGGAAGTGATGATTCATTTTGCCACGCTCTGTCATTACTCGTCGTCAATATGAAAAAGGACAGTTCTTATTAAGCCCATTACCTGAAAGATGTGACATTAGGAATTTGGATTAGGAATGGTGCGCTTCATTAGGGTCCTCGTAGCAAGTGCACATCTCCTATTCACGTGTCACACAAAACAATGGCCTCAGCACTAAATATATCTCTCCCTGTGAGCGCTTCACCTTTTACTCCTTGACTGTGATTTCCACTTATACTGTCCTCCCCCATTTCAACCGCCACCAACTTGTCCTGTTTTAATCAGTTTAATCCATGCAATATATGGAAAAAAACCAGCTCATCCATGAAGAGCTCCGGAGAGATAAACAAGGAGTTTTTTCCTTCACGAATTATATTATGTGGTAGTATGAAAAGAGCAGGGGAGGGGGGGGGGGGGGGGGGGGGGGGGGGGGGGTTAAGTTACGTGGATTGCAGCCCAGAGAGTGACTGTTGCTGAGGTTCTGTGAAGGACTGCTTTTGTTTTGCAGAAGATTGAAGTTTATTCTTAAGGCACAGTTCCAGGCAACTCTAAGTGCTTAACAAAATAAGATAGAAATATTACATTAAAATCATGATAATCATTGTATATTTATCTTTTTGTATGAATTACATTTATTTAATTGTATGGAATATAATTTTTTGTATTTTATCTTTGAATCCATGTTTTATTTGTATTTTTTGTATATTGTATCATTTGTATTTTTTGTAACATTATCGTTACAACACACATTACACTGAACCATCACTCACAAGTTCTTCACAAATTGTATAAAAACTGCAAATTTACACACATATACAGACCCCATAGCGCAGGTCACACAGCTGAAACAATGCATGAATACAAAAGGCAATATGAAAGTGTTTGAGGGAATTCAGTTTATTTTGCTTCACTTTTAGATGCATGCTAATTTAGACAGACA